GCTCCTATCTGATTGGGTCCGATGGCAAACCACATATTTTCTCGACTGAACGATTGAAAGAGATCACAGCTACCGTAATCTCGCAAATGGCCAATAATGGGCTACGCACAATCTGTGTCGCCTACAAAGACTACATTCGAAAAGGTGTCCGCGATGTGGAAAATTATGAGGTAAATCGATCGATAATTGATTAGAATTCAAAGATAAGGTAGATAAGCTTCTATGATTAAGATTCCATTTGAAAAAGATGAGGATATCGATTGGAATGACGAGGATGAGATATCGAAGAACTTTGTGGGCATTGCAATTTGTGGAATACAGGTAATTTCTATAACTGATCAACCACCCATTTAGCCCTCAATCAATATATCGATTTTTAGGATCCTGTTCGACCAGAGGTGCCAGCTGCTATTGAGAAGTGTAAGAAAGCTGGAATAACCGTTCGTATGGTTACTGGTGATAATATAAACACGGCTAGGTGAGGAATGTTCCTTATTAGGATTTTATAGATGGAGTAGAGCCCAGAGAAAGAGAAGTTGCAGCTCTGCGTCTTCAACGTTCTTATTTAGCTGTAGCTCTATCTTTTCTATTTATTGATTGACCTTTCAAAAGATGTCAAGCAAATAAAGAAGCTCACTAATAAGATCAACAAAATGGAGATGCGTCATAAATATTTTCAGAGCTATCGCAATGTCTTGCAGAATCTTAGAGCCTGGGGAGGATTTCTTAGCCCTAGAAGGAAAGGAATTTAATGAAAAGTGAGCACGCACTTCCGATATTTTAATATTAAAAAAAAGTAAGCGCCTCCTAGAATTCGTGGACCCGACGGGAAAGTATCACAAGCAAAACTGGACGAAATTTGGCCACGTCTTCGCGTTCTGGCTAGAGCGCAGCCATCGGACAAATATACCCTTGTTAAGGGTATCATTGATAGCAAGGCTACACCGCAGAGGTAATCTTAAATTTGGGAGTTTTTTGTCTACTTTTTCCCTAGTCGAATAGATGTGGCAAATTTAAGAATTTAGCAAAGAAAGCCGTCTCACTGTCCACAGAAAATAAGATCATGAAAACAAGAACATTTTTTTGAGTTTTACATGGATGAATTTTTTGAAAACGTAACATAATTTTCACAGAATAAACTATGGACCTTTAACCTACGTAATTTTACTTGTATAGTCAGAACGGTTGTTCCTAGCTCGACCATTAGCTTAATATATAAAGAAAATGAAACAAACCAAATTGTAATGCTTCAGAGAAATCGTCGCTGTGACTGGTGATGGTACTAATGACGGTCCCGCATTGAAAAAAGCCGATGTTGGCTTTGCTATGGTGAGTGAAGTTAGATTTTATTGGATGTGGGGCATTTATTCCTAGAACCGGCCATATTCTGCACGTTCCTATAACTTTATAGTATACCTTTGCCAGTCCAAAGTAGCCATAATTCGGATTTTACTGACTGCTCTGAGAATTTTGAAACTGGATATATGATTGAAGAAGGCTTTTGTAGGGCATAGCTGGTACGGATGTCGCCAAAGAGGCTTCTGATATCATCCTCACTGACGATAACTTCACATCAATTGTTAGGGTGAGTTATAATGTTATTCTAATTTTTGAATTGCAAGGACCTTTATTTTTTTAATAAAAATTTTGCAGGCGGTGATGTGGGGACGAAACGTATACGATTCGATCTCGAAATTTTTACAATTTCAACTAACAGTAAACGTTGTCGCCGTTCTTACCGCTTTCGTCGGTGCTGTTACAGTATCGGACTCACCTCTCAAGGTGTGCTATAAAAATTTAGATCATAAAAGTTTTACTGGAGACGAGGACTTTCACTATCCAAAAAAGGTGGACTTTGGGCAGTTTTTCGCCTCTGTGTGACCGACTCTAAGCAATTTTGAAAACGATCTAATTTTCGGTAAAGCTGGTCTGAG